TGGGTGAGGGGGGGACCCCTACTAAACCACGAACCTCGTGGGCTCAGAGACTCATGCAAGGTTGTGCCTCCACCCACTCAGTTGTAAGCTCAGGGTCACATCCATATCAGAAGCTGTCTCGCAGAGGTGCCAAGAGTGCTGGGAGCTGAGGTTGTTTAGCCCAAAATGTTTCCCAACCCACCAACCCCTGAAAAGCACAGAGAACGGAGCAGAGCCCTCCCAAGCCTGGAGTCCCGAGTGTCAATGCCCTCACCACACAGACAAGCTACGGGACAGGCCAGGGAGCACATAAATGCAAAAGACCCCTTCTAGCTATCCCAGCTCGGATGCACAGGAGGGGACGGGGTCACAGACATGGTGCTGGGAATCCTCAAACCTAACCTTGCTCCCCTGCATGGAGGCCGATGTGCCAGTGCCTGTACTACTGACTGGATCATCACAGGCAGCACCTCAGGGGCCAGAGGGCCTGCCCCTCTCTTCCCTGCTGTTCATGAACTGGACTGAAGGATTCCTGTAGCAAACTGCAGGCTCATGCTCACCTCAGCATGCACCCCAGAGCTGAGGCTCACACTGTCCTCAGCTGCCTCCCAGGTGCAAGAGGGAGATATCAGCAATACAGCAACCCCAAATGCCCCCATTGCAGGGGTACTGCCCAAACCTTTTTCTTTTAATTAAAATATATTTTTAGAGAGAGAGAGTTATATACATCCTCTATCATAAGCTTTCTATCACACATCTTAAAACCTCATTAAGAAACCCATACTTCCCATTACAATAGGGGCAATACTCTGAACAGCTCAGGAGCTAAAGAAAACCAAACAGCAGCAGTGGCTGGAGGGGAGGTCACAAAGTTAGTAACTGAGCTAGGAACAGGCCTTGCATCTTCCAGTTCCCAGTCCAATGCCCTGGCCACTAGCCTAGAGGTGTAATCTTGCTGGCTGTGTTGACTAATGCAATAAACTCCAAGGTATTTATGTAGGGGTGCACTGAGCTGTCCACTGCCTGGATTATAGGAAAGTTCCCTTTTTCCTTAAACCGATGCATAGAAATTACATGGCTCTTCCTCATGGTCGAAGCACAGCACAAGCATTGACCAGATGCACCTCTCAGATCTTCTGGGCTAAAAACACAACCAGCTCGATTCAAACTCCAGCAAATCCCAGACCTTACAGGTGGACAAGCCCACTGTCCCACTTTAAGCCCGTATGAATGATCTGAATGAACGCTTTGCCTCAGAAAAGTGAAGGGACACTTAAGCCTGGTGCGTAAACAACTGTGCCTCATCTGTTTTGATAGGAGTCATATCCTGGATTAATCAGGATTGCATTAAGCTGGTTATCTGTTTCTAGCCCTAAGCACAGGGAAACGTGAGCTTCGCATTCCCAGAGGGGAAACTGAGGCAGGGCCCAGGGGTACTGCCTTATAATGGCTGGGTCAGACCTCAAACTCAGGTGCTCCTGGCTCTGGGCCCCATGCTTTTCAGGCTCTTACACAGAGATTTAGGAGCAAGAAGCACAAAATTCAGTGTGTTCCTTAGGAGCACCCCACAGTCCAGGATAAGAACGTGTGTTCAGGGCTTTGCTAAGGTAGGGATTATACAGGGCTCCTCACCTGAGGTGCGGTGAAATTGAAAACACAGAGATCATTTACCTGGGAAACTGTGACAGAACCATCTATCACGGAAATCTTCCACAGGTCATGGATCGTTTACCAGGCAGAATATCTCACGCTCGCCCGGGCAGGGCAGGAATATCCAGGAACATTTCTCCGCCAAAAACAATATCAGCTGCTCCAGCAGCACAGAGGACACTAGAAAGCCCCGTGCCCTCTCTGCAAACCCCATCCCCTGTCCCCTACACTTAGGGATGGTTAAAAGATGCTAGGCTGAGAGTCCTGGGGAACCTCAGGTCCAGTTCACTGCATAATGATTTATAACCTGGGGAAAGTGGGTGCTGGACACCACCCATGGCACAATAGTGGCAAGCTCCTTGGAGGCCGGGGCAGGATGGGGACAGCAAAAGAAGGGGCAATATACTTCTCTGTGATGTTGTCTTACCAGCATTTCCCAACCCCAGCTATCTAAAGGGCTCTCCATGGCCCAATCATTTCTTCGCATCTCTGGGAAAGCCAAAAAGCACACTAGTGCCCATGGTGTGGCTGGGTTTTGCAGTACATCCACTTATTCCACGCAGACAAGACCTGCCAGCAAGCTTCTCTCTCCCCCTCCTTCTGAACAATACCAGAACACTGCACTGGGCTAAAGAGCAGCTGGGAGCCGGATTGCCACCTTGGAGCCATCCACCACAGTCAATGTGACAGCCCCTACTGCTGCCTGCAGGGCTGTCAGCAACCTCAACAAGAGGCAGGCACATGGAGACAGAACCACGAGGAACATGTGATGTTGTGCCCTCAGGTTTGATATGCTCTGAAGGACCAGCAAGGGCAGCGGGTGCCAAGCACAAGGCACCTCGGCTCAGAAAGCCCCATCACCGGTCCATGGAATTGGACAGTAGGGGATGACAACCAGAGCCTCCCAGTCATGCAAATAGATAGGCTCTGGGTCCATCAAGTGTGCAGATAAGGTGCCTTGAACTGTGTCTGAACACCGATGAGAACCCCAGGCAGAAATTAGTCGGCAGCTGTTGTGTCCTCAAGCAGCTTAGTCTGCTGCACTCTGCACTTGAAGCCTACTCTGAAGCCCACTGAAGGCAACTGTCCTCTGGACCAGGCCTCTCTGGGAGTTTCCCAGTCAGTCAGCGGGCTGCTACGTTCAGAGAAGTCTAGACTCAAGGTCTCCAGCCAACCACCCCTGCCAGCACTTCACCTGATTTGAACCAGATGCCATTTGCTTTCACTTGGTGTCATGGTTCAACCCACAATTGGGAGATACCCCAACATCACCAGGAGAGGGAAAACCAGGCAGCCCAAAGGGATCTCAAGACTGCCGTACGCTATTTCATACGCACACATAGACCAGGAGAGAGACATGCTGGACCCTGCCTGCTTCAACCCGCAGGGCAAGCAGGAGACACCCACTATTCCCATTTTGGGCATCCTGCCCCCACTGCTGGGTGGTTCTGGCCATCCCCACTAAAGCTGGGGCACATTCACCTCCTCTGCACGTCAACATGGAAAGCAGGCTATAGACCATGTAGGAGCAGCATGGACATGTCAGGCATTTCCCCTGCTAGAGGACTGGAAAGCAGGCTACAGACCACACACAGGAGCAGCATGGACACGTTAAGCATTTCCCTTGCTAGAGGACTGGAAAGCAGGCTACAGACCATATAGGAGCAGCCTGGATGTGTCAGGCATCTCCCTGGCTAGAGGGTGAAACCCTGTCCACATCATCAACAGCCTCCATTGTATATCCAGGCTGGTAAGGGACCAAAGGGACCTGTGAAATCCAAGTATGGGTGGACCACACCACAAATGTCATCTTCCCCCACAACAACAGCTCACGGCCCAAGAAGGCTCTTGGTAGAAGGGGCTGAGCCCATAAACCGTGGTTGGAACTCACCTACGGCTGGGTTGGCCTGGAGGCCTCAAGGAAATGGACCCAGGATGCCTGTTCCAGTTTTAGCCAGCCATTAAGGGGACTGGTCAGCTTTGCAAGTGGTTAGGTACCACTGGGTACATCCAGTAGCTCGGATAAGGAGCCCTGTATAACGTCTACCTTAGTAAGGCAGCCTGCCAGCGACCAGTGCACATCCCTTTCCTCAAGAGCACCGCTGGATCGTACCTATGGCTGACTGCTCTTCAGAGGCAATCAGGACCAACCAGGCGGCCGCCTCCTTGCAACTGGATCCTCTGCAACCATCATGGTCTCTTCACCTTCAACAGAGCTCCAGCAAGGTGGGGACACAACAAGCCCCGCTGGTGCAGCCGATCAAACCGGGAAGATCCCTCCCAAGACCACATCTGGCCTTGCTACACAGCAGGGTGGGTCAGTGGTGGGTTTAGTCCTGTAGTCAGATTCCATCTCTCGGGTTTTAGTGGTCACACGGCAAGAATCTCTAGATGTTGAAGCCCCCAAATCCCACAAAGTTTCTGCTGAGGATAATTTTTTTTTTAAAGAAGAGTTACACAGAGAGGAAGGAGGATGGGGGAAAAAAAAAAAGCATACTCAGCACAGAAATGCCGACAGCCGTAAGGAGAGCAGCTGAGAGGGGCCGAGTCGGGA